TTCTTATCTGTCCTCCCAGTGAGCAGACGTGGACGACGCCATGAGACCTGCATCAGGGAGGTCAACTTGTGGCTTCAGAGCTGGTGTTATGAGATAGGCTTTGGCTTTTTGGACTATGACCCATACTTCCAAACAAGAGACATGCTTGGGTGGGATGGGCTTCATCTCTCCCCCAAAGGTAAGCATGTGTTCTCTTTCAGGTTGGCTGATCTCCTCTGGTGGGCTTTAAACTAGGTTCCTTGGGGGAACAGGAGGACAAGGCCAGAGGGATCCATGGAACACTAAACCATGAGATACCCACAAGATCAGCCCAGTTGAGTACCAAAGAACCTATTAGACAGCAGTGTAAGGGCATTCCAGGGGCAGCCACCAGGGGAATTAAGTGTATGTATACAAATGCCAGGAGCATGGGAAATAAGCAGAAGGATCTAGAACTCTTGCTTGCAAGCAATAACTTTGACCTAGTGGGACTAACTGAAACCTGGTGGGACTCTACTCATGACTGGGTGGTAGGAATAGAGGGCTATAGGTTGTACAGGAGAGATAGAGGAGGGAAAAAAGGAGGGGGTGTTTGCTCTCTCTATGTCAAAGAACAGTACACATCTTCCCTAATCAAACTGGGATCAGAGAATGGACAAGCAGAGACTCTGTGGGTTAGGATCCAAGGGGGTTGGGGGGAAAGGGACCTGGTGGTGGGGGTCTACTACAGGCCTCCGCATCAGGAGGATGAGGTAGACGGGGAATTTTACAGGCAGTTCTCAGAGGCTGTGCAGTCTAGAGACATGGTAGTCATGGGGGATCTTAACTACCCAGACATATGCTGGGAGGAACAGTCAGCTAGATCTAACCACTCATGCAGGTCCTTAACCTGTATTCAGGACCTCCACCTAACACATGAGGTAAGGAGTCCCAGAAGGGGTAATGCCTTGCTCGACTTGGTGTTGGCCACAGGGGATGACCTGGTGGGGGACCTGCAGATTCAAGGCAACCTATGTGACAGCAATCACCAAATGATAAAATTCACTATCCAGAGAAAGGCAAACACTATACCTAGCAGGACACAGGTGCTAAACTTTAAAAAGGTTGACTTTAATAGGCTCAGGGGATTGGTTGGCAGGGTACTAGGAACCAAGAGCCTAGATGCTTTGGGGGTCCAGGATGGGT